TGAAAAAATAAGCTAAAAAAAAAAAAAAAGAAAAGAAATTAAGCTGTGTTATATACATGTACCAGCTCCACCGGATGAATGTAATTATTGTGTATTGTAATCATGGGCCAATAAAAAAATTTTCTTAAAAATGAACTCTGCCACGGCCAGGGATTTAGCTCAGCAGCATAAGTACCTGCTTGGCAAGAGTGTGGTCATAAATTCAATCCCCAATACCAAAAAAAAAAAAAAAAAAAAAAAAAAAATTAAAAATAAAACAGCCAAAATCATGTGAAGATTAAACAAAATCAAATCTACATGTATATACACCCATACAAATGCACAAAAATCACAAAATCTACATAAAGATGACCGAGTTATATAAATCTCAATTTCCTACTTATAATAGTTATTGTTCTGCATCTAGGCATCATGTTACTATGGGATAAGTTGGGCCAATGCTGCCTGGGATCTATCTGCACTACTTCATAAAACTGCAAGTGAATCTACAATTATCTCAATATTAAAAAGCTTATTTCAAAAATGGAGCCCTGGAGTTGTAAAGTGCACCACTAAACTAACTACCTTTGCACCTTGAAAAAGAAATCCGAGGAAGCTCTTTTGGGAACTGGGCTGCATCATCACTGGAATTCTTCCAGCAGGAAACACCAGCGTCCAAACCGGGGTGTTGTGGGAAAATACTTTTACTGAGCACATACTATGTGCCTGGCCATGACAGCCTAAGAAGTTTAGAAGGAGGTCAGATGTGAGTCTGGGCACAGATAAATTAGGAGCAACACAGAACCAGCAGTAACCCAACAGAAACCTGTGGATAGCTAGTATGGTGGTGCACACCTATAATCCCAGCACTCGGGAACCTGAGGCAGAAGGATCACTACAAATTCAAGGGCAGCCTGGATTACATAGTGAGACCCTGTCTTGAAAAACTAAAAACAAGAAACAAAGGAAAAAAGGCCAGAAGGATTGTGACAATGATTTAGTATATATTTGACCTGCCATGTCAATAAATACATGAGAAGGAACAAACAATTCATCTTTGATTTAAACTAATGCTTTAAGTGCTTTTGATTTCAGGTTAAAACACAAAACAAAACAGTGCCAGCCAAAAACGAATGTCTGCTTAAAAATTAACATAATTTTAAATATCACTGAGGAAACACTAATTTAAGACAAGGGTTAGGTCAACCAGCACAGGTTATTACTACAGCTCAGTTCTAAATGCTGATCGTTTCTCTAATAAAAATGTGTAGTCATTGCTGGATATGTAATCCCACATCAGGAGACTAGAATCCCAGCACTCAGGAGCCTGATGCAGGAGGATCTCCCAGAGTTCAAGACCAGCCAGGGCTATATAGCAAGATCCTGTCTCAAAACAACAACAACAACAAAAGAAAAACATTGGTGATAAGGGATTCATGCCCTGCAGCCCAGCTAAATAGCAACACAATGGTCAACACTGACTTCTCATCAAACCAAGGCTTGTATTGGAGGTTGGAATAAGTGGAAATTATTTCCCCTTCTCAAACAATCCTTTTCTACGATTCAGCCCAAGATAACAGACATCAACCCTGAGCATTGTGACCTTCTTTCAGCATGTACTTTCTGTGATTCTGTCATTGGGAGGGGAAATCCTGGAAAGAAAGGAAACTTCCTCAAAGATGGAGACAGAGGGGCACCAGTTAAAGCCAAGTGTGGGTGCAGACCAGCAGGAAATCTGTGGCCCCACCTCCTTACCTCAGGGTAAGCAGGCCTGGGGAGGAAAGCCATTTGTCCCAGTAAAACTAAAATCAAAACTAAAACAGGACACTTAGAACTCACTTCTGGCAGGGTGTAAGTAGCACAAGGCTGTACTCCCAGCACTCAGGAGGCTGAGACAAGAGAGCTCAGCGGTACAGCTGCCTGCCAAGCATCAGGTCCTGAGCTGGATTCCCAGTACCAAAACAAAACAAACATGAACAACAACAAAAAAGAATTCACTCCTGGTTCCCAGAGTGAGATGCTTTTTTTTTTTTTTTTTTTTTTTTTTTTTTTTTTTGAGACAGGGTCTCGGTGTGCAGTTCAGGCTGGCCCTGAACTCACTTTGTAGTTCAAACTCATGATGATCCTCCTGCCTCAGCCTCCTGAATGCTAGGATTACGGCGTGAGCCACCGCAGTGGGCTCCAGTGTGAGGTTCTTTTAGGTCAGCCTTCCAAACATATTTGAAAACCAAGCCACCATCGGAGCCAGATTCAGGACTGGGAGGAGCCACCCAAGCAGGTGCCAGCGGCTCACAGAAAGCTTCCCGGAGAGAGGCCAGCAGCTCAGGATTCAACGCCTCCACCTCCGTGGGCCAGGAGACCTCCTAGGAGAATGACGCAGGACACGCGGGTCTTCCTAGACTTCCTAGAGCTCTAAGGACTTGAGGTAGAACAGAAGAAATACAACCAGGTAGAAAGAAGATCAGAAAATGGAAAATTTTTTAATTGTGCTTTTCAAAGAAAAACAGAGGCTTCAGAACAGGAGCGCGGTTTATTTACTTTTTCCCTTCTCTGCAAACAGCAAGCCTGGGTGAGTCCCTTTCAGCAGCAAACTGATCTGCCAGTTCCCTTTCACCTGCAAATTGCCGTTTTCCGGCAGCCAGAGGAGCAGCTGCCTGGGAGACAGCGTCTACCGCTGCCCTTCCTTGGAGCCCCTGCGGACAGTTTGCGCTGTAACCCAGCAGGCAGGACGCACCTCCGAGCTCACGTATTTGGCTTTAGATGCGTGCGCCAACCCAAGCGTGGCGCGCCTCGTTTCCTCGAGCACGCTCACTCTGCTCCTGAGTGTGTCCTACATCTACCGCCTAATAAATCCTCCTGATATGCTTCTGTTTACTTTACAGAGTCCTTAAAACTCTTTCTCCGCAGCAAAGAAGTCAGGGAACCTACACTAAATTTAAACGAGTGAGGTCAGTTTCTTACTTCAGCCTCTGGGGACCCTCAGACCCAGCAGGGGTACTCGAATTCAGAGCCACTAGAGAGCCTTGCAGATTGTCAAGGGTCAAGCAAGACACAGGACAGAGGCAGGCCCTCCACTTCCCTCCAGACCCACTCCCTGAGAAGCCACCACCAACCAGGACAGACGCACACATTCGCCCTGTGCCAGCTCCCCGCCGGCGACAGGCAGGCCCCCAATGCCCAGTCCGCTAGTGCAGGTCCCGGACAGGGGCAGGAACGCACAGCTTCATTCACTGGCTTTATCTTCCCCCAAGTCACCCCAATCCCAGGTCCCCAAGCCTTCAAGGCGCAGAAGCCACCATTCCGGATGTCAAGTCCAGTGTCACCCCTCTCTGCGCGCTCTCTCGCTCTCCCTAGTTGCACAAACTTTCCTTCGTTCCGGGTCGAATCTGGACCACGTCGCCAGGCTGGAGACCAGCCGCAGCCCGCCGTGGCGTGGAGCGTGGGCGCGGCCGAGTGGTGCTGGAACAGCTCCGCGGCGTCCGGGGCAGCCCCGCAGCAGTGGGTGCAGACGCCCTGCGAGTGCAGCCCGCGCACCGGGAGGGGAGCCCAGGCTGCGGGCGGGACGACCAGGACTGGGAGTCGAGGACGCGGCGGGGAATGAATGAACACGTGAACGAATGCGCGACGGCGGCGGTGGCAGGGAGCGGGGGAGAGGAGTGAGCAGCCGACCCTTCGCGCCGACTCGGACTGCTGGGACCCGCGCCTCACACGGACTCCTCGCTACGCTGCACTCAGGGCTGGGAAGAGCTCGCCCGCGGCCCCGGCCCCGAGCCGCCCTGCCCCGCGGAGCCCGCAGCCCTTACCTGCCCGCTGCAGCCTCCCTTGCCCGCCTCTACCTCGCTCGGAGCTGACCGCCGGAGCCTGCCCGCGCCCGGAGGCCGCCCCGCAAGCCCCGCCCCCAGCGCCCTGTGGCTGCTCCTGCGCGACGCACGCAGTCCACAGGTCGGCGCTTCGCTCTCCGCACCGCCCAGGCCGGCCCAAGCTCCGCGCAGACCCAAAGGCTGGGTCTGCGGGGTAGACCTGTAAAGCTGGCCCTGGGTCCGCACTTACTGCGGCTCCCCGGGAGGAGCTGGGGTTCCCTTGGGCCCTTTCTAGTCCATCCTAGACTCGGGAACCAACACTTCTGTACTGATCCCGACCAAAGCTGAGCTCCACAGCCTGTTTGTGACTTGAGAGCAGCAGAGGATTTTAAGATGGTAGTGGGGAAGCAGCGTCGCCCCAACATGGGACAGCTTAGTAGGGACACCAGGGAAATGTGGTGGGCTGAAGATGATCGGCCTGGGCCAGATTGAAAACCAGGGTCACAGCGTTTTAAGTTCCTGCTTTCTAGCTTTACAGCCTTTTCTCCCAAGTTATTTATGGACCCTCTGGCACCACTGTCCTGGGCACAAGTTCCCCAGGTGCCCAAAGGATTCACCTTACAGCGTCCGTAATGGCCTCTGCAACTAGGAAAACGAACAAGAGGTAGGCCATCCCGGGCAACAGAGCAAAAATACAAACGATAGCCGGACATGGTGGCTCACGCTTATAACCCGCACCACTCAGGAGCCTGAGGCAGGATGAGTGCTGTGGGTTCAAGACCAGCTTGGGCTACACAGTGAGCTCAAAGTCACCCTGAATTGCATAGTAAGACATTGTCTCAAAGACACTCCCACCACCCCCCCACCCCCCCAGCAAAAAACCCCACAAACCATGAGGCTGCAGCTCTGTGATAGAGCTCTTCCTAGGATTCACATACCTTGGACTCCACCTCTAGAACCAGTGGAGTAGGGAGCACAGCTGACTTGGTCAAGGGATCCTCTATATTTCTATCTCTGGTCAAGGGATCCTCTATATTTCTATCTCTGCCCTGTCATACCATCCATAGCCCAAATAGATCCTTGGAGCTTTTAATTTTAACCTGGCCAGCCCATCTCCCCAGGGTGCTGGAGGGTTGGCAGGTGAACTGCATTTAAGGCTGCAGCTCACAGCTTCACCTGCTCAGAGAGCAGGGCTCACCCACTCGAGGAAGAGAGGCCACAGGGACTTCAGCTATTGTTTATTAACACACAGGTGGACTCTATAGCAACAGGCCTGGAGGTGGCGGGCTGAGTGTGTGTGTGGAGTACAGGTGCAGAGAACTGTGCACAGGTCAAGTGGGGAGGCCGAGGTGACAGTGGGAGTGGGGTTGATCATCGAGCAACTGGAGTCAGGACCAGAGTCTGATCCACTGGCCCATGTCGTCAGCCCCGATGCTGGCTGCCACGGCCAGGTTCTCTAGGCATCCGCTTCCTACAGGAGCTGAACAGGATATACGAGGAGGTGAAGTTGCTGCCTTCCTGCAACAAGCTTTGGGGCCTCCTTTCTCAGAAGTCCCTTGCTGGGGTGGGGACATATCCCAGGCTGCTAGCCCTGGGCCACTGCACCTGAGAAGGTGCTAATTACAGAGATGCAGTCTTCCCAGGCATCCCAGCCCACCAGTGCAGCACTACAGCCCAGAGTGAGCGCTACTACAAGCAATAGATGGGTTGGGGGAAGGGGGCAGGGAAGGGGACCAGAGAGGGGCTCCAGGGCCTTCATGGCACGGGCACAACACGCATGGTGTTGGTGAAGCCAGAGCCAGGGCGCCACCCAGTCAGCACAATGACCACATCTCCCGTCTTGAAGAAGCCTCGGGCCTTGCCTGGAGGAAAAGAGGAGAGAGGTGGGTGAGTGTAAGAGCCAGGGCAGGACAGAGGCAGGAGGTGGACAGAATGAGCTTTACTGCCTCATACCGCAAGGTGGCGCCAGCCTACCAGCCCAGGCAAAGCTGATGCTGATGTAGTTTTAGGTGGCTCAGTAGGCAGGGACATCTTTCAGGTTTACCCCAGAGCTGAGCTCAAAGTCAGAGAGTTACGGCTGCCTCTCGCCCCTTGACCTCTACCTTATTCAGTGAGAGGGTTCTGAAAACACTTCCGCAGCAAGAGCAGGAGCAGTCTCCAGGCCCCTTGCCCCTCACCTATCTCTCTACTCCTTTATCTGGGTCACAAGAGCCAGGGCTCCCAGCCACGCACCGACATTCATGGCCAAGTTCACACGCAGGTCCACGTCCTCAGCCCAGGCCTGCAGCACGGCGTCCTTGCACAGCACAGGGAAGATGCCACGGTACAGGTGGGCCTGGCGCGCCGTCTGGGGATTGCGGGTCACAGCAATGATGGGGGCCCGGGGACGATACCGTGCCACCTGGTGGGCAGACCTGAAGTGGGAGCCAACAGAGTGAAGACACCTTTATAAAAGAACCCCAAGAATCTTGGGAAGCATCCCATCCGGTCAGCTCTAGGCTGTGGTCACCAGCAATGCTCCTGGTGCTATCCCCACCAGCCCGTCTTCCACTGGCTGGGTCACCATGTGTGTGGTCAGGCTCACCCACTACCCCACATGACCCCAGGCTGGAGATCCCCGCCCACTTCACATGTGGCACAGACCAGGAGCCCTGGCCCAGACTCTCTGGCTCTGCCTTGTCAGCTACAAGCCAGACAGTGTGCAAATAGCAACTACGGTGAGAGAACAGCAGCAGAGCTGGTGACTCCTCCTCGAGGCACACAGGCCCAGAAGCAGTTCATGTGGGGTTTCTTGACTGCATCCCCTCCACACCCATATGGCTCCCAGGCCCCTGGAATGGTCCCAGCAGCTGAGTTCTAGAGCCCTAGAGTCAAACCCAAGAATAATGAGAAACTTTTTTGGAGGTTTGTCAAGACGTCTCAGACTTCCCTTCTAAGGTTCTAGAAACCTGGGTGCTGCACAGGAGGCAGATGCAGGTGCGGTGGGCAGAACACTGCACACTTGCACATTTCACAGCAGTTGGGGGCAGCTCAGAGGTGGCTGGGCCCCAGCAGGCAAGCTCTGAGGACACCCAACAGGTGTCAGGGAACACATCCTCAGCATGGCAGGCAGGGCTTTGCCTCAGGTTTCTCCACACACAGCCACGCAGCCTTCAGGGAGGCAACTGCTGAAGCTGGACCAAATGAGTGAAATGCCAGGTGACCACGGCTCAAAATAGCCCAAGAACAAGGGTGCGAGCTCTGTGGAAAGGTCACCCCTGACAAGTGGTACTCTTTAGCCAGGGTGGGCATGGCGTCTGTCCCCATGCTGCCAGGAGCCCCCCTGCCACTTGGTGCATGGCATTGCTCCCTCACCCTTGCATGCATGATCTCCCAGGGGCCCTTGCGCTAGGGACCAGGCAGGGAACTCGCTCCAGGCAGCCTGCTGAGGAATTTATTAAGTCCAAGTCAAGGCAAGGGACCTCAACTCGAGGTCATTAGGCCAGATGACCCATGGCCTGGCTTCAAGGCCCAGAGAATGGCAGCAAGGTGGACAGTCTCCCTCCTCACACACATAGGCCTTTCATCATCACAGCTCAGTCCTGTAGGGGCTGGGCGCACAGAAGGACCCCGTGAACAGCAACGATCTTCCAGCTCAGACTTAAAGGACCCTTAGTCATCAGAATAAGCCCATCACACGTTGTCTTTTGCTCTTTTGTTGTGCTGGACCCTCAAGATGCAGTCCAGGCTGCGGCTTCTAACTGTGACAATCCTGCCTCGGGTGCTGGGATTACAGGCGTGGCCACAACCCACTGTCTTTCGCTCTTTTCAAAGAGCAGATCCTAAATATGGAGTAACGGCCGCGCCTGATGCTGGAGGTCCATCCATCCACTGTGGGGCTGGGAGCCGCATGACCTAACACATCAGTGGGCATTGCTGTGTCCTTCAGGCTCAAGTGGCAGCCAGCAGGGTCTTACCTCGGCTCAGTGCCACTGAGCACCGCTCCTCGGACCCCAGGGATCCCTGCCGCCTCCTACCTGCCAGACTTGGTGAGCACGATTATGGCCCCACTGCAGCACTTGAAGGAGGCCTCCACGGCGCCCACGGCGGCGGCTTCTGTGGGGTCGCTGGTAATGGGGGCCAGGCGGCGCAGCTCCTCAAATAATTGTAAGTGGTAAATGGCAGCCTCTGCCTCTCGGGCAATCTAGGGGAGCAATATCCGTCCACAAGGACGAGGGGGGACAGAGCCTCATCAGAGCCTTATCACAGGGAAGGGGCAGGGAGGGAAGAGTGACAGGTGACTGGAAAGGAATGTATGCCTGCACAGCAAGATGGCAGCACCACAGGATCATTCCTTTACCAGGGGCCTGTGACATCCACTGAACCTACTAAGCCACAGGACCTTGGGTCCACCCTGTCGTGACCTCCCTGGCAGCAGCTGGTACAAGAAGCTGGTCATCCTACAGACAACACCTGCCCTCGGGGCCCTACCTGCCGGACTCCGTGAGTACTATCAAAGCTGCCGCTAAACATTTATAAGAAGCCTGCACGCTGCCCATGGCCATGGCCTCCATGGGATCCTGGGAATGACCGGAGGCTCGCACAAGTTCTTCAAACAGCTTGCGGTGGAACATTGCTGCCTCAGCCTCCCGAGCTATCTGTAAGGTTAGGGAAGGGGGGAGTGGGGACGTGGAAGAGGGAAGAGGAGGAAAAAACACGAGAGACAAGACATGGAAACATAGAATGGGGAATTAATCAGAGAGGAAGGTATCACAGGTTAAATCTGTCCTTCAGGCCAACACAGAGGCAGGGCGGTAAAGTTTACGTGCTCTGGGAAGTATGGGCAGTCTTTTGCTTCAGCTAATGTTATTTACCCTGCAATTTGGGGGAAACTGGATCTTCCATTCTGGAAAGATTTCTTCCTTTTTTTTTGGAGACAGATATTCTTGCCGACTGTCCAGGTTGCCCTTGAACTTGCAATGCTTCTGTCTCCGCCTCCCAAATAGTTGGGATGGCTGCATAATCTTTATTGGACCAGATCAGAGGGTGTGAGATAATATGGCAGCATGCCAGGACAGGCCCACATTCTGCCCTAGCAGAACACTTGACCACGCTGCCTTGTGACACAGCTCACAGGAAGGAGCACGCCCTACCCCACCACATGGCTGCCTGGGTATGGCATGACAGTAGGTGGGGAAGCCATTGCCTCTCCACTCGCCAGCCACAGAAATGGGCCAAGAGGCCCAAGAAGCTGGGGTCACATAAAGCCAAGGCTCTGCAGCCTGAAGGGCTCACTGAGCAGCCGTGGGAAGAGGCAGTCAGCCACAGACAACACTAAGTTCAGTGAGATGTTTGATTGTGACCATGATTCAACAGGCACGAGACAGTGAGTTATTCACACACGAGTAACCTGTTAGATTTGACCTAGAATTTGCCACACAGAGCCTCGAAGATTAGCACAGAGATTGCAAGCAGGGGTATAGCAGGACTTCCTGGTTACAGTGTTCTCACTGTAGACCAGAATGCAAGCACAGCCAGGGCACAGGGGACAGAGCAGGACACAGAATCAAAGCTGGTTCTGGCCAGCTCTTACTTATTATTAAGACACAGGCGATAGCAGGCCAGAGTTAAGGGACAGAGAGGCCATCAGCCAACGTTAACAGAAAGGACAGGCCTGACTGTCTGGGGGCAGCTACAGGCCGGCCAGACCCATGACTTATCTTTCGTGCAGTGCCATGCAATCCAAACCTCCCACTTCTAAGGTGTCTGTTCAAAGCACAGAACGGGATGGGGAAGAAAGGATGTGGAATTGAAACTCTAGAGCTGCCACTCAGGCTCTGGTCTCATAACAGATCCCCCCAGATGGGGACTGTCACCCCAGCAGGCCAGGGGCTCACACCCAGGCTTCCCATTATGGAACGCTAATCAAGAAACCAAGGTAGTGGTAAGTAGGAATATCACATCAGGGTGCACAGGCCTCGGGTGCCCCTCGATCATTAGAGGATTACTAAGGCCATCATTAGATACGTCTCATCTGGTTCCCCTGCGGGTGAGGCCCTGATGACTGAAATAACTTTCCAAGAATGCATAAAGTCTGTGTGGCTCATGGTTTGACAGAACAGGGGAAACTGAGCACCCCCATCTGGGGATAGCAGGTACCACAGCTGAACAGAGCAACCAGAGAGGGAGAATCCTGGTGAGGCCACGAGGCAGGTGCTCTGGTTAACTGGCTGAGGTGACAAGTGTCCAGGGAGAGAGGGGAATCTTCCTGCCTGGGGAAGCTAGGCCATGCCAAGACAACACTCGTGGCTCTGTCCTGTGCTGACTATCAGCCAGGCTCAGCCACATAAATGTCCCTGAGAAAGGGTACAGTCTCTGCCATTTCAGTCCAAGGAAACCCTGCAGAGACGCTGGTGACAACCCTGGTGATACAGCTGTACAGGGGCACGGGGACAGTGAAGGAGCAAAAGAAAGACGGCCAGCTACTCCAGAGCCATTTCTTGCTTTTTCTGAGGGGGTGACGGTGTTTTAAACAAGGACATGGGGGAAATGGGGTCACACTGAGGCATGAGTGGGCAGTCAACCAGAAGGGAACCGAAAGCCTGGGGAAAAGCCAGGTGGGGACCAGGGCAGGTTTACCAGACTGTGTACTAAGACTGAGGTAGGGCCACCTGGAGGAAGAGGCCAGGCAGTTCACTCTTTCCAGGAAGCTCTGGGGCGGAACGCAGGGTGGAGAAACTGAACCTTGACCATGAGTGGCAAGGATGGGGAATGGCTGAGCAGGTGTCCTGAAGAGCTCAGTCCCACCAGGTTCCACCCAGCCCCAGCTATAGCTCTGGGCCGGGTCATTCACCCCACCAGGAAGGTCCCTGCAGGGCTAGGAGGGCACCTTGTCTGCAGAAAGGGGGAGGCAAGTGGGGAATCAGAAAACCAAACAATGGGAGTCTGAAGATGGAACAATGGGGAAGCTAGGACAGGTCACTAAGGTCCTCCAGACTGCCCAAGGGAAGAGGTACAAGACATCCTGCAACTGCATACCTAGGCCATGACTTTGGCTACGGTATGGGGAGTGAACTGTACTGTACAGCAGCAGCAGCCTTGATGAAGGAGCAGGAGAGGTGGGGGTGGGGCCCAGAAGGTAAAACAAGAAAACAAAACCCAGAGGCCTGGGTCAGAGGACGCCAGAACCACTGGCCTGCCCGGGGCCGTCCTCACCAGGTGCTGCATGCGCACGGCCTCCAGCGGGTAATCGCCCTTGGCTGTCTCTCCGGACAGCATGATGCAGTCGGCCCCATCCAGGACAGCATTGGCCACGTCGCTGCCCTCAGCCCGTGTGGGCCGGGGCTTCTTGATCATGCTCTCCAGCATCTGCAGGGGACAGGGCAGTGGTGAGATGCTGTGTGGCCCCCAGGACAGATAGTATGTGTGGCTAGGAAGCAGAGAAGATGGAGAGGTGGCCAGGGCCCCGGGGAGGGGGACACACGTGCCTGTGTGGCGCAGATGACGGGCTTCCCTGCGCGGTTGCAGCGCCCAATCATCATCTTCTGGGCCAGGAAGACCTTCTCTGCAGGAATCTCGATGCCCAGGTCACCTCGGGCCACCATGATGCCATCGCTGGCCTCCAGGATCTCATCGAACCTGACATTGAAGGAGGGAGCTGAGGGGAAGCTAAGTTATAAGACACTCTCCTGCTTCCCAACCCCAGTGGAAATGAGGTGCTAACGGGGTATTCAGACACCTTAATGAGAGGTAGGGACAGGGACTCCTCCATCCTCCATCAGCCTATATCTCAGGAGCTCCCACCTGGGGCTCACTAGGTCTCTATCCAGCCACCTGGCGCCAGGCCAGGCATGTGGCATGGTTCACCCAGGGACCCCACAGCTCAGGACAGAAGGGAGGGGGTGTTCCAAAGTACTTGGTATACAGGACAGGCCACCCAGCTCACAGACCACAGGGCTGGCTGTTTGGCCGCCTCGCACCTCCTCAGCATTCTAACCATAGGGGTAGTTTTTATTCAGCATCTTGCTGTGTAGCAGAGGGTGGCCTCAAATCCATGGTAGTTCTCCTGCCTTACTCTCCTGAGTTTTAGGATCACAGGCGTGCACTGCTGCGCCTGGCCCTTGAGACGTGATTAAAAATTTTTTTAGGCCTGAATCAGTGCAAAATCAAGGCCAGCCTAAACTGCAGAGTGAAACCCTGCCTCAAAAACTAATAAATAACGTTTTTTGTACTCCATTTTTACAATACATGATTAATTCCTTCTGTGAAGCTGGTAAATGTACATAACACATCTTTTTTATCCCCATTCCCTTCATCTCTATCCCCTTTCCATCTCTTTTTCTTCCTGTCTGAGAAATATCTACCTCCCTAATTTCTGTTATCTTTTATCCTGCTTTTTACATTACAGATCACTTGGCATGAGAAACCACAGTATCTAAGCCACATGTCTCATGACATGGTGGTCTTGAAGTACATCCCTTTTCCTACAAGTGACTCAGGTTCACTGCACTGTATCACAACAGTGCAGTGCTCCACTGTGTGTAAACACCAGCATTCTTTATTCATTCACCTGGTGGACATACAGGCCACTTTCGGAGACGTAGCTACTCAGTTATGCTGCTATAAACAGGAGCATGGCTAGATCACTGCACTACACTGTCTTTAAACTTTGTGTTTCAAGCCAGGATCCAAGAGAACAGACATGCCAGGGTGGCTGCACTCAAGCGCTTCTATGCCATCAGCCCAGAGACACTGTTTGTGCCAATGTCAACATGGAGAAGCTCGGGCTTTCAAACAGAAGCAGGAGGCCCAAACCATAGCATGGAGAGCAGGCCCTAAGCTGCCACATGGCTCCCGAGTGGGGCAAAAAGGACCTCTCCAAGAGCCTGAGCCTTCCTTTCCCCATGACTGTTCCTTTCCCAGCAAACCCTGCTAGCAGTCAAGCAGGATGACTCCTGTAGGGGGTGCTGTGACCCAGCCTCACCACTGTGGGTCCCCAAGCCCACAGAACAAGGTCAAGCTTCTTAACCAACCAACTAGTAAACTCCCTGATTTTATCATTCAAATAGCAACACTCCACTCCTTTCTCCTAGAAGTCTCTGGTTCAGTCTGGGCCTCTGAGACTGCTTTTTTTCTCTGAGACAGGGTCTCTCTGTGTAGCCCATGCCGGCCTTGAACTCAAGGCGACCATCCTGCCTCGGTCTCCTGAGTGCTGGATTCCAGGTGTGTGCTGGCTGTGTTCCGAGGCAAAGGACCCAGGCCTCACCTCCGGACCCCTTCGTGGTTCTCGATCTTGCTGATGATCTTGATGTTCTTCCCCTTCTCTCCCAGGACCTGCCTCACCGCGTGGACATCGGCAGCCTTGCGGATGAAAGACGCAAACACCATATCCACGTCCTGCTCCACCCCGAACTTCAGGTCCTGAATGTCCTTCTCAGACACAGCGGGCAGGTCCACGGCAGCCCCGGGGAGGTTCACGCCTTTCTTGCTGCCTAAGGAGCCGCCATTTTCCACCTCAGTCACCAGAAAGTCGGGGCCTGTGTGTGATGAGAAGGCAGAACCTCGAATCGCACACTGACAGGAAGGGAATCGATCCAGCAGTGTAGGGCCTGGTCCCACCAGTGTCCCTGGAGCCCCATGAGCCGGGTTCTCACCCTAACTCCATCTCTTGACCTGTAAATCGCTGTCTTGCCTCGAATACCTTATCGTGTAGGTTGTGTCTAAGAGCTGTGATCTCAACAGTGAGCCCAGCCAGGTTACTTAGCAAACACCTGCATGCTTGCTGCCCGCCACCTGGCTCCCACGTGCCAAGAACTGTATCCTATCATCTTCGGGAGCAGGTGCATGTACCTAACATTTTTTCTTTTGTTGAGGTAAGTTATTGCTAGGTACTCCAGGCTGCCCTCAAACTGGATGGGATCATCCTGACTCAGCTTTCAAGTGCTGCCATCACGTGTGTGCCATTGCATCTGACTTTCTACTCCTTTTTATCCCCCTTCCTGTGCCTCTCTAGAAGTACCCCATACAAACCTTTCTCCTTCACCAGCAGGGAAATGAGACCGTCGTCCACGTAGATCTTACTGCCCACGTCCACCACCTTGCAGATGTTCTTGTAGTCCAGCCACAGCACATGCTCGTCACACTTCTCCATGTAGGCATTGTCCAGTGTGATCTTGAGCGCGGCCCCCTTCTTGAGCTCCACCTCGGCGGTGCCACTCTGTGGACACAAGAGGCCAGGTCTAGGCTCTGGGAGCTGCTCCCACGCCGGGCTCCCCTCCCTGGAGCTGGGCTCCAGTCTCAGCCCAACATAAAATCACAAAACCTGCTCCATTTTAACTTACCAAGTTACAAAGAAAGAACCCAGGGGAAAAAACTACAGTGTTTCAGTTTGCTACTTCAAGGAGAGAAAAAAAGATGCAAGAGAACCCATATGACATTTAGCGAAGGGCTCTTAGAGCAGCAAGTGAACTATCTCCTAGCAAAACAGATTTAATTTTCTGCTTACAGCAGTGAACATAAAATCCTCATTTGCAGCTCAAAAGTCTAAGACCTGGTGCCCAGGGAGGCAGCCCTCAACACCCTGCCTCTGGAGGTGTGACCTCCCTGTGACACTCACGCCCTTGATGAGTCCAGTTCGGATCTCTGGTCCCTTAGTGTCCAAAGCCACAGCCACAGGCCGGTAGAGAATGGGGTCAGAAGCGAAGCTCTCGGTGGCTGTACGCACATTCTTGATGGTCTCTGCGTGGTACTGGAGGGAAGGAAAGACAAGGGAGGTAACCAGTGTCACCCATGCCTGGGTCAGGCTTGCATTTCCCATAGCAGGGCTGAGCAGACAGACGCCTCAAGAAAGGTTCTGTAGCCGCCACCACCACCACCACAGTCCATCCCCAGGGCCTGTGCCCCTGCCCTGCCAACGCCCTCAGCCTCGGAGCATTTCACAATCAGCGTCCAATTCCATGCTTTTCCTATCGACCCAAATGACAATCCAAACTCTGAGTTATTGACATAAGGGAACAGTGGCCCAAGTTAAACAACTCATTTTGAAGGTCACTGTAGACAGGTTATACAGGCGCTTTTCCAGAATCCAATTTGAGGGTTATTAGACGGGGGGTGTATGTACTTGTATCTGCAGGTGACAAGCTCTACAAACCCCAGCTGCAACTGCTCCCTTAAGCCTTTCTCCTCTAGCCTGCCACTACTGTTTGATTAAAAGAGGAGTCCAGTCCCAGATAAGACATGAGAGCTCTCAGACAGTGTAATCCATGGGACACTGCTGATAAAGGTCACCTCATTCAGCGCTTTATGGGCCTTATCTGTACCCAGCCCCGGTCCACGAGCATGGCACCCGCATGTGGGCCAGTCTGCTACTGGGCTGTGTCGTAAATGCTCAGCTTTGAATTCTCACGTGCTTTGGCATAAGGGACCGCTGGCTGGTGTGGTTTGTTTTGTAAAGGTCCTTAGAGTAAGTTATAAAAAGTATAAGCAAGCCAACAATAGTACAAGATAGAAAGCAGGGCAGAAGAGAAATTTTTTAAAGTCTTTTTCTTCTTCTTTTCTTTTAAATCTAACTCACTATGTAGCCCAGGTTAATCTTGAGCTTCCTGCCCAAGTCTCCTGACTGTTGGGATTACAGGTATGTGTCACCATGCCCAGATTCCTTTTTTTTTTTTTTTTTTTTGGGGGGGGGGGGTACTGGGGCTCAAACTCATGACCTCATGCTTGCCAGGGAAGTGCTTGTGCAGCTAAGCTAAATCTCTGGCCCCAGATTCATTTGATTCTTTTTAAAAAAGAATGAATACTGATAAATGCCTTTTTCTCAGAACCAAATGAGAAGTATTCAAAAGACAGCCAAGCACATAGTCATTATTTAATAAAACGGTACTATTATTACTATACACTACAATGACCACTCTAATTCTAATTTGGAAGCCTGACTGTGTCCATGGACTACAATTTCCTTTTGTCATGCACTGTGAAATTCCTTTGATACACTACAGGATTTGGATGAAGTTTTATCATGCTTCCTAAGACTGGTCTAGTGCTTTGCCAACCTGGTTGGTTTGATCGCTGTATTACTTGTCTGATCTCAGCATGGAGAGGTGTCGACGCTGCAGCAGTCTAACTGGAATGGGTTTAACTGTGCCTCAAAGGACAGATAGACCCCAGCCTTTAAGGTCATCTGACCTTAGGCTGGGGGCATAGCTCAGTGGTAGAACGCTTGGCCCCTAGAGTTAGATCATTGGAGAGGTACTAAAAATTGAACCCAGGGTCTCCACACCGCGCTTTAGGAGTTTGCTACCACTCCCTGTTCCAGTTGTCACCAACAGCTAAGACAGCCTCCCACCAGCCCTGTCCTTACAGAAGGCTCTAAATTTAGGTTGTTTCAAAGTCACTATTTTCTGGCCAGCAGGGGCATCATGGAACCGCACATTCAGCAAGAATACACGTTGCTTCTGTGACTGCCAAAGATGGGGACCCGAGAGCTGCCAAAACTGTTAAAAGATCAGGTCATACACAGCTGATGGTCAGAGTAAGAAAAAGCAGCTTCAATATTCTCAGAAAAGTACTAGAAATTACAATCCAGTCAGGCACAGGTGCACATACCTTTAAATCCCAGCACTGGAGAAAAGCTGACGCAGGAGGACTGCTGAGAGTCTGAGGCCAGCCTGATGCCCATAATTAAGTACTAGACTATCCTTGGGCTATATAGGAAGATGTTGTCTCAAAAAACTGAAAGTCAAGAAATGTCCCAGCTCCCAATGGAAGGTGAACAGGAATAAGAGCCCCATTGTGCAGCTGGACTGAAACTAATTAATTGCCATATGTCACACTCTCCTAGACCAATTTTAAATCAGTTCCTAAAACCCAGAACACTGCCACAAACAATGCCATCACAGTCTAAAGCCTAAAAATAAATAAACCTAAGAAGACTTTAAAAAGTTAAAAGTATAGATAATCTCCAAATGCCTCTTATAGATTAAAAACTAAACTCCAAGCCGGACACAATGGTGAATGCCTGTAAAACTCCAGCCTTTGGGGGCCAAGGCAGGAGGATGTAGTTCAAGGCCAGCTTGAACTACACGTTGAAAGCCTATAACAAAAAAACAAACAAAAACCTAAACTCTTGAGCTAGCCCCACCATGGTGAGGGAAGTGTATTAGCCAGTGTTTGCCATTTTGGAGCTCCGTGGTGTTATTTTACAGGATGGAGGTGTTACAAAGCCTCCTGAAAGGTCAGTGTCTCCACAACTATTTCTGCTCTACTCCCTGCAAACTGCAGACTCCAGCAGCAGGGATCGCGAGCAGAAGGCTTTCATAGCAGTCCTCAGCTCTGTCTCTCTGAACTAAGCCAATGAGGAGTACCTCCTGGTGACTCCTGCTAAAAAACCCGTCACTGCTAAGCCGGGCTGCATCGTAACCTGCTTAGGTACCTACTGGACCAGGCCCCCGTGACATTTGGGGGTCAGCCTCCTGCCAGGTCATAGGCTGTTTATGGAATCTATGATGAAGAGTCTCAGGTTCCCGGAAAGGGGAATTCACTTCTTGGATTGCTGTTCCTAAGGATTTATATTTAGTCCAAACTTAATACCAACTTCCAAAGGGCAGAGGGCAGCCCCACTCCATCTGACTTCACAGGACATTTTCTTCTGTCTGAACAAGAAAAATCAAGGAAAGAGAAAGCTTCCCAAGCTTCCCTTTTACGTAATAAAAAGTTCGGCTCAAACACACTGCTACCACACTCCTGAAGAGGCATGCTCACTGGTTATCTTACTTTTTCATCTTTTAAAATTTTAATTGCAGTCCATCATGAGTACATTCATCACGTACAAAGGCCACTTGAATTCTTTTTTATATCCTCTTCCCCTCGCTCCCCTCCATCTCTTGCTCCTTTCTATGTGGTTCTCCAAATACACCAGAAGCACAGGGAGCACATGGGACAGATGGCCCTAGTCCCATAAATCACAGCTGATCCTTGGGCGCCCCTCCTCCTACACCTGCCTCATCTGGCTGAGCAAGGCCAGAATCAACCCCCAGGTGACCTTTTGGTTCTGGGTGGCAACAAGAGCTGTTTGCAGAAACCTAGGGCAAGTGTTGGGGACAGTGGCTGAGACTCCTCATGGCTTAGGGTGGTGATACTGAACCTTTCAAAACTTTCAATGATTGAGACCAGCTGGCTCTGGCACGCATACTGCAGGTTCATCACCACCAGGCTTTGGCGAGTTCTGGCGTAAGGGAAGCCTAAGGTTGGACCAGGTGCACGGGACACCATGACAGCGACAAGCAGGGCCTGGCTGCCTGTGCCACCTTGGCCAGGAGACCAGAGAAAAGGTGTAGGATGGGGCTGGTAAAGGCAGCTTCGCACTCCCCATGAACAACAGAGCCAACCTCGTTCCCCAGGGATGAACAAACCCAGCGCCCCCAGTGACCCAACCATGTGTGAGGCACGGGTGACCTCACTGTCCAGCCAAGGCTCACCTCGTGAGTTCCATGAGAGAAGTTCAGCCTGGCCACATTCATCCCAGACTTAATCATCTCCTTCAGAGTCTCTATGGAACGGGAAGCCGGGCCTGGGAAAAAAGCATTTTAAAGCCACAAGTAAGAAAACCCGTGCTGTTCAAGTAGGAGGATATAGCAGTTTGCTCCCATCTACAGAACTCATCTTTCCCATTTTCTGTAAATAGCTCTTCTCCACAAAAGCCCAAAATGTTTCCCAAAGAGCCTAACAATGCTACAGTGTTAGCCTGCTGTCTGGATCTTGGGGCACATTCCTCCCACTCCCTGAAACCCTACAGGCTTCCATGCATCAGACAGAAGAGCCTCGGCGGGACTTGGCCAGCCTCTCTGAAACTCAGCAGCTCGCTCTGCCACGACTAGGTGGCACTTATTTAGTCCCTGCGCCACTAGGCTGGCCCGGGAGGGGGGACCACGCACCAATGGTGCAGATGATGCCAGTGTTGCGGGCAGTGATGGGGGGCGAGTCGATGTCCAGGCGGCACATGTGCTCCAAGAAGGTGTCGGCCATGGCCGCATGCAGCTGCTGCGTCTGGATGAAGGCCGTGCCCGCTTCACTGTGGGACTTTGACATGGCTTTGGAGGTGCTGGTCCGGGAAATCAAAAGAGAGGCATCAGCTCAAGGTACAGAATTCAGTGCCTGGCATACATCCTGTTTACACCCAATACAATACATATATATACCCAATAAACTCATTCTGCACCCCAGCCTCACTCTGAACCAGGGCTGTGGACACTGCTGGACTGATGACAATCTCCTATGAGTCACATCATTTCACATGCACCAAAGGCATGTCTACAAAAGGAAGTTACAACCACCTCCAGCGATAAGAAACTGACCCCTGGCTTGGTGTCTGCTTAAGTCTAGCAGTTCGCATGTGACAAGCTGTCTTGAAGCCACCACACACATCAGTGCAGGAATCCCATGGCAGCCTCACCCTCATCCCCCAAAGGCCAAAGCCCTTCCCCTGTCAGGAGACAACTTCTCTCAGGGAGTCTTCTTGATCCCCAGAGCATCAGTAGACTCTGCACTTCTTGCAGGTGTGACAATAAACAGGTCCAAGCCCACTGAGGGACAACTAAAAGTAATCCCTGCATGGGAACCCTGAATACAAAAGCCAGGGAGGAAAAAAATCCCTTACATCTACCTAGGCACAGTAGTGCACACCTGCAATCCCAGCATTTGAGGAGGCTGAGGCAGGAGGATCACCAATTTGAGATAATCTGGCACCTCAAGAGCTATCTCAAAATAAAACAAAAAATGGCAGGTGAGGCAACTCATTGTAGATGCCCTGGGTTCAATCTTTTACTACCTCGAAATCAATCCATCAGTCCCATCCATCAATCAGTCCCATCCATCAATTTCTGACCAGAGGATTCTTACGCAAATCAATTTGTACAGAGCAGAAAGGGACCTCAACACCACCAGTACTAGCCTAACGCTAACAAGTCAGTTGCAATGTCAGGAATTTATGCTTCCCTAACTGCCCCATACTGGGGACTGGGCCCAGAACCCTCAGAGGCTAGACACGTGCTGCGTGACCAAGCCCCATAGCCCACAGCTCCCTTCCTGAGAATCACCCTGCACACTGCACTGGGACCTTCTGTTCCAGGTAATTAACCAGCTGGTCACGGCCCCCTGGATGGCCTGGACCTTTGCTTTACTTCATCACTGACCCACAGCTAAACTCACTGAGCAGGTTGGCTGACTGAGCACAGGACGCACACGGGGGCCTGGGCTGGACACTGCTCACCAATGTGCTCAGACCAAGGGCTGGACTTCTAAATCCTTCTGCTGGGGCTCACAAGCGGGCCCTTCCTCGCCCTGCCCTCACCACTTGATCTCAGGCCCCACACCATGGAGTCCATGTAGATCACCCCCAAACTTGTGGTTCCTTAGGGTGGTATTGAAACCCATCCCTGCCACTTCCAGAAGAGCATGGTTGTCACAGTCAGTCACAAGGCTGCTTTGTCTCAAATCTAAGGATTCTGTGGCCAGGGGCCCGGCCCTATGGCTGCCCTCAAGGTAGATACACAGTGGCTAAGGGAATGGGCCCCCAGTGAGGCTTAGCGGAGCCAAGCTGTGGCAGGGACATCACAGAGATGGCACACCAGGCCACTGAAACACAAGGCCTGCTGTGCCCTCAGCCGACATGTCACCAGTCCAGGAGCTGTACTATGAACAGCCAAGATAAACCATTCTCAGGCCCTTCCAGACCCGGGAGACCCTGGGTCTCCTCAGAGACCTGGCAAGGCCACTGCCGATCAGACCATACCTGTGCTGCTCTGGGCTTGGGCTTCCAGTGACATACTGCTCTTTTTTTGACTCAGGGCGGCTGTTTGGCCCCACCTGGAGAGACCGCTCGGAGCTGAGTAGGGTCTGCCCTGGAGAGCTGAACAAGGATTAAGGTGAAAGTGGAAGACTGGGGATGTAGCTTGACTGCAATGCGCCTGCCTGGCAAGTGCAAGGTCATGAGTTCCATTCCCAGTGCCAAAAAAAAAAAAAAAAAGAAAAAAGAAAAAAAGAAAAAGAGAACTGAGCATAACTAATGCTCTAGGGGTAATGAAAACATTACCTTCATAACCAGGTATCCGGGTGTAAGCTACATGAGGAGGTGCAGCTGAATTCCCTCAGAAGCACCCCAGGAAAATACTGAAAACCTGCTAAGATTCACAGGTGGAAGTGAACTCTTGCTGGGTCCCTAATGTCTGAGACCCCCTACCTGAAGTCTACTGAAACTTGTAATTTTGTAACACCCTACCACTGACTCTGTTGCAAGAGGCTGCTCCCTACCCTTCCGGGGCATGACACCAAATTAGATGTACAGGAAAGAGCTGTGATGTCCCAAAATTGCAACACCATGCTTTCTGGGTGGCAGAACTACAGCAGAACTTTTCTTCTCTTTACAAGTAAAATTACTAATATGAAATACTTAAAAGAAAAAGGGGCAAGCAGGCTGCCGGGCATGGTGGCACATGCCTGAAATACAAGCACTTGGGAGGCAGCAGGATCAGAGTGCGCGGCCAGCTAGCGCTATGCAGCAAACGCAAGGCCAGTATGAACCAAACAGGAAAGAAGGTAGAAAGGCAGGCAGTGTATCTTTTTAGAAAATAAGATACTTATTGACAAGTATCCCCTACAATTGTTAGAATTAAATGAAATCTTACATTCTTTTGTTTATTCTGTTTGTTTCTTTTGACACTGAGAACTGACTATGTATCCCAGGCTGGCCTCAAACTGGCCAATACTCCTGCCTCTGCCTCCCTAGTGCTAGGACCACAGGTGTGTGCATTCATACTCAGCTCTTTTGCCCTCTGCAAACACAGTTTACACATGGCAGAGGCAAGACAAATATCCTAGGCACTAGGTCAGAAAGGCTTATAGGCCAGTTTCAATGACCTGATCCACCAAGAGCCTCAAAGCTGTGAGTGTCCATGTGAGCACCCACTGTGATGCAACCCATAGGACAATACCGTGCCAACATGTTAGTCACTCGCCTGAACCCAGCACACTTCTGTTCCTCTCTGGTCAACCCTGAAGCTTCGTAGTAGTAAACCTTACCAGGCTGTCCCTGAGACAGCATCAGCACATTCAATTATACTGGCTGCAAACCATAGCCTCTTCCACCAGTTTGAATCAAATCAAGTCTCTAATTTTTTGCTATGAAATCTAAAAGTAGCCAGTGAAAATTAAGTTTTCATATTTCAGTGGATGTCCACACCAGCAGTCAATGAGCAAGCTTGCCAACAAGCCGTCCCAGACTTCTGCAAGATCTCATGTGTTTGCTGGGCATGGTAGCACACTCTTGTAATCCCAGCACTCAGGAGGCTGAGGCAGGAGAATCACAGGGAGTCTAAGGCCAGCCTGGGCCTCAGTGAATTCAAGGCCAACTTGGACTACACTGAGATTGTAAAAAAAAAACATAGATTCTGAGAACTCCAACATCAAGGCATGTCACTAGTTCCTCCCTGAGGTGGACACAACTTCCTACCTCCATGGTCCTCCCCAAGGTGCCCCTCCCCACCGGCTCCCCAGGAGAATGAGTGGTCCCAGCCATGACAGCCTGAGTCACTCTGCATCCTCCTCCTCCTCAGGGGGCAGAGACATGCAGAGTCAACCTGGTGATGGTGGTGCGGACCTGGCAGGTCCACTGCCTGCAGAAAATGTAGTGCCCAGGGACGACAGCCTTGCTCAGGAGTCCAAGACCCTGTCGAAGCAGCTTTCTCAGAGCCATTTCTCGGCTGCAGGAAGCAAGACACCATCAGGCCTTAGTCAAGGCTGGCAGGCTGGGACAGGCAGAGCTCAGCTCTGGGCGCCTGCTCAGCCCTTTCCATCCAATCTCAGGAGCCTGGAGCTGAGCCTTTGTGTCAGGTGTGACTCTTCTGCCACTCTTCAAACCCAGAGTGCAAAAATCCTAATCAAATGGGGAAGACACGACATTTAGCTCCCACGAGCCAGCACCATTGTCAGGCTGCGCTGGGAAAGATTTACGCTTCACCCCACCAGTTATTTCATCCTCACAAAGGACCCCATCATTCTGCCCCAGAAAGCCAGCCTGGCTGGATGTGCATCTGGTATGAGCCAGTTCCCACTGAGCACCCTGGGTGCTCAAAGCCAGCCTGGCAGGCAGACCAGCCCAGCGGCAGTGGCACCGGAAGCCCACTTTTCCCCTCCAGTGAGGCTTTCTGCCCTCAGACAGCCCCCGTTGTAGTTGGCATGCCAGCTCATTAGGAGCTGTTTTAGGACTTGGGGGAGTGGGGCACAGATGCTAAATACGTTTTCAGCACCCAGCTTTCAGCTCACTTGTATGATCCTTTCCCTTGCTTAAAGAAAGATAAACACCTGGAATCCTCATGCTCTGGGAGGCTGAAGCAGGAGGATCACAAATCTGAACCCAGTCTGGGCAATCTAGCCAAGTCCTATCTCACAAAAATAAATTTTAAAAGGGGGCTTGGGATGTGGCTCTGGGCAAAGACCCTAAATTCAACCCCCAATCAACTAGTCAATCAATAATCATCTTTCTTTCTTCAGGGTAAGAACTAAGTGTCACAGATTTTACTGGCAAGAAGAAACCTAGGGTCCTAGCTCCTTTAAATCCTGGCACTGAATAAGGAAAAGCTGATTCTAAGTGTGGGGGGAGGGGTTTCTGCCCTCAGGAAGACCTCCAACTCCAGGTGACCCTCAGGAAGGTCCTTGATGTCCCCAGGTTCCACCCCCAGGCCACTGCATAGCCTCAGGAGGAGGTGCTGTCACCTGGCAGCACTTGGTGCCTCACACCTGCTTCAGGCCCTCCTAAGTCAGGTTCCACCAGAGTGCACAATGGGCTCAGCACTTCCAGGGGAACAGGCAGCACTCCAGTCCCACAGTGCTGCCCTAACCAGCGTGGGCGGCTTCATCAGTTTGCTTCACTTGTTAAAACCCAACATGTGGGCGCTGGGCATTTAGCTCAGCAGCATAAGCATCTGCCTTGCAAGTAGGCAGTCCTGAGTTCGATTGCCGGCACCGATTTATAAAAACCCAACATGTGTACTTCTACCACCAGAACTGACCATTAACAATGAGCCATATTTTCTTTACAATTACAGT